TGGCTGGGGAGTTCTGGGAGTTGAAGTCCACCCGTCTTAAAGTTGCCAAGGTTGAGAAACACTGCTCTACTCACGCCTAGGCTTCACTCTGGAATTTCGTTCTCCTTCACTGCTGGCTCGACAATCCTTAAGCAACAGTCTGCAAACTCCACAAAAACAGGCTCTTGCATGTATTTTCTCAGGAGAGCGCTCTTGTCTTCAGCTTGGTCAATGGTAAGCAGCAGCGGGCGGAGGTGAGGATTCAAGAGAATCCCTCGGAGCTCTTCTGATTCCTCTGTTTTTAGAAAAAGGGAAAAAAGGGAGAGGGATAAGCTGAGGATTTCAGACGGAGAAGTTCCCATCCCTAGAAAGGGATGTTTTAAACGCTGTTTTAAACCTTACACTGCTGGACCCCATCCTAAGATGTCCGGGGAGGGGGGGGCAGATCCAATAAAATGTGATTAATCAGAAACTAGGGTTAGTTCCCTCCATGGCAAGGAAAATCACCAGGATTCCATCAGAAACCTCCGTCCATTGCAAAAAAAAAATTGCAAGAGATTCAGTGGAAAAGTTTGCGGGGCAATCGTTGAGTATTTTATGCAGAAAACTTACCCAACAGCTGGAGTTTCTGGAGAGGCACTCTATCGTCTTCGTCATCTTCGGTCAAAATGTCATCCACAGACCAAGGACTGCCTAAGAAGAAGCCGGAAGGAGACAATTGCTTCATTAAACAGCTGCAGGAGAAGCAGCATCAGCACAGATCTTTCCACTGTAATACAGGTCTTTTTTTTGGGAGTGACAAGTTACATAGGGCGAAGGTGCAAAACATTTCATTTCTGCAATTCCCAACACACTGTCTCTCCAAATAAAGTGCTTTTCCTCCCCTCATGCAGAAAGAACACCCGTTTTCCTTCCAACTCAAAGGATACGTACCTTCAGCCCTCCGTGATTTCTCTCTTTGAATGGCCCAGGAAGCTTCTGTATTTGCAGGCCCAGCGGCTGGATCCTCTCTGGGTGCGCACTCTTCTATTAAAATTCCAAACATAAATCTTTAACCTTAAATACCTGGGTTGAAGTTAGAGATCAGGCCCCCTGCTCTGCATCTCTCAGGGCAACAGCTCCAAATTTCAAAGACTTCACTCCAGATCTGCATTTGATTATGTTTACATGACACGCTATTTAAAACAGTGTTTTTCAAGCTTGGCAACTTTAAGACGTGTGGACTTCAACTTCCAGAATTCCCCAGCCAGCATTGGGGAAGTCCACGCGTCTTAAAGTTGCCAAGCTTGAAAAACACTGATTTAAGAGAAATTGACACATTTTCTAAGAGCAAAAATAGGTGAAAGTTAGTCTTTCTTGAACCAAGGGGTCTTGCTGATACTTTTTTTCTTGCATTTTTTTTATTTTTTTTATCCCTCCTTTATTATTTTTATAAATAACTCAAGGTGGCAAATATGCCTAATACTCCTTCCTCCTCCTATCTTCCCCACCACAACAACCCTGTGAGGTGGGTTGGGCTGAGAGAGAGGGACTGGCTCAAAGTCACCCAGCCGGCTTTCATGCTTGAGGCAGGACTAGAACTCACCGTCTCCTGCTCTCTAGCCTGGAGCCTTCCCCACTAGACCAAATTGGCTCTTTCCCAATCAGCCTTGGAATTCTGAGTGGTTCCCCATCCGAGTATTAAGAAACCTGCTTAGTTTCGGGATAAACAGAGGACTAGCCAGTTCTTACGCTTGGAAACGGAACTGCATGTCGACCACAAACTCATTCAGCTAGGGATGAGCCTAGGTTTAGGACCCCACTAAGCATTTCAGGGGGAACCCAGAGCTGCAGTGAAATGGGTTGAGGACATCAAATCTGGGCTGCTTCAGCTGAAACTACGTTGAGCCTGTCTGAGGGTTTAGATTACAGCTCTGGAGTCTCTCCTCTCAAACTGCTAGGAAGCTGGCTTACGGATTTGCAGCAATTGCGATCCAAAGGAATCCTGGAGGCTGCAAAACCAGGATTAACCATCCTCTGCTGGATCAGGGATGAACAGTCCATGCTGACGAAACACGCGTCATGTTACAATCCACATGTGGCATCACCATGGTTAGCAAGGACTTCCAGCACTCAGAAGCTCCTAAAATTTGGTGGCAAGACAGCCAAGTGCCAGGAGCATGTAGCTTTTTTTCCTCTTTCTCTTTTCTTCCCCCTCAAACGTCAGGGTGGGAATGGAAGTAGAAGGCCTCTAAGAAGCACAGACCTTCCCTTCACGGCTTTCACTCCCCTTTCCCCCCCAACCCTAGCAAAATTTTAGGCCTTTTAGGCTTTGCATTTCTCCTGCCCCCATTCCATCCTTCCACACACACACCCCTTCCAAAACAGCAGGCTGAAAAATATCACCCCCATCGTTCCTGAGATATACCGTGGTCTTCAGTTGCCCTCCAGAAGGTCAGGAGGCCAAGCAGAGATCCAGATCCCTCAACATTCGGCCACCCGTCAGGGACGTGCGCAAGATAGGGTCCAAAAAAGCCAAGATGTGCAACTGAAGCTTCGTTTTTTATGCACGTTGTGCATTAAAAACAGGCCAACTTCAACTGCACTACTGTGACTGCCATCCTGAATTTTTGGACCACCCCCTGCAGAGCCCCCTGGGTTAAACAGATGGCAAATTATGCTATTGCATCAGTGCCCCAACCGGTCTGGAAGTAGAAGTAAAGTAAGGTAGAAACAAGCTGGAAAAAGCAGAGTGAGAATGAGCAAAAATCCTACACGTTTTGACCAGAGGAGAAACATACAAATGGGGAACAAAATGGATGCTCCTCAGATTTATGGGACTTCAGATCCCATACACCCCATCCAGCATGGATGTGGGGAGGCTGCGATACGGGGTTAGAGTTTGAAATAATTGACGGGGATGGAGATGAAAAGACAACATAATTTACCTTTGTGTTTCTTGTAACAGGGCACTGAACAACTGAAACGACAACAGAAATATCCATCAGGACAAGAGTTTTAAGAGCCAGGGAGTCAGAAAAGAAAACTATGGATTGATCCCAAGTCTCTGCATTTCAACCTAGAAAACCCATCTTGGGATCTGGGAGGAATGCGCTCTGCACATGGGCAGAGGTGTCCTCGTTGCTGCAGGGCTGAACGCCAACAGAGAAAGCAAAGACAGCAGTTAAAGGGAAAACATGATTTGATTCCAGACGCTGAGATACACACAACTCCCTTAATTGGCTCTTCCAGTTTTGCCCATTTTTCAGGGTTCGCACCATACACCAAAATATCTATTAGGCCAAAGGGCTGGAACTGCACGTGGGAAATTGCAAAAAAGAAAGAGAGAGAAAGGAAGCAAAAGTAACTCTAACCAAGATTGCCACATTCTGGGAATGCATTTGGCAGACCAGTGTTTCTCCCACTTGGGCACTTTAAGACACGCGGACTTCAACTCCCAGAATTCCCCAGCCAGCCTTGCT